AAGTAATCTAACCCTCCAGTTAGTGAATTTTTTCTCACCTTTTTTCCATGTAGTTCAGGGCCTGCCTCAGCAGAGCCTACAGGTAGTATTAAACAGCTCTCAGAAGCACAATGATGTGTTTGCAATTATAGTCTGAGCATTAACCTGCTCACATACATATTACAGTATTCTGATTTCCTGATGGATGATGACTTAGAAAAGAACAAGGAGAGCATAGCTCTCGCTGCTAATTCTCCTGGACCTTCCAGTGTCATTAGATACCATCAGATAGGCTCTCTGGGTTGAGATTTGGAAGTCTGGTGCTGTAGGCTCCTAAAAGAATCCATAGAATTAGGGTAAACTGTCATTAGCCCAATTTCGTTCTTCAATTTTAAAAGTGCACTTTCAAAGCATTGTGTTTTTTTTTAATGTTCATGTATATTAGAGGTGTTATGGGCAAGTCATCCTCGTACAGTCAAAGAGATAGTTGTGAGCCTCTTCTGCCGCAAATTGCATTTTCCTTATGTATCTGGTCATGTTAATACTTTCGTGACTCTTCTACTTCCAATAAGCAGGTGGAAAAGGAATCCTTCAGCCATCAACAGCCTGCCAAATCTCAAATCCCTCTTCTCTCTAAAGCTATGGGAATGACCTCATTTGCAGAGGAAAAAAAGAGTGATCATGGGATAAGCCTCTCTCCAACCTCCTGTCTTGCAAGACTTCATGACATCATATCATTGGGACTAGGGGGTAACATACACATTTGCCTTCTCAGCGATAATCCAGAAACGCCAAATTTCTCTTGCTTCCTTTCCTTGGCTTCTGAACAAACATGAAGGAACTGATGGAATATCTCTTCATGATGAAACAGAAACCTGACGAAATGTTTCCTTTACTACAATTTAAAATGTAAATCTTGTCATCCATATTACAGGGTACTTTGAATAATTTCTGAATTTTTTATTTTTCAAGCACTGCAAGTGTAAGTAATTTTAAAACAACTGTGTTGTTTCCTTGTCCTTGTCCCTATTTGTGTTTTCTGTGCTGTCAAGTCAAAATTGACGTATAGGGCTTTCAAGGTAAATGAGATGTTTATGGAGTAGATTTACCAGTTCGACTTCCCCCAGTCAGTTTCCATGCCTGAGTGGGGATTCAAGTCCTCTTCTCCAAAGGCCTCGGCTGTCACTCTATCCACTGCACCACTCTGGGAATCAGATTTAGAGATGCCTGTATTGGCTCAGGTCCCTTTTTACCATTTGCTTTTGTATCAAATTAGTTTCCAAAACAAAATAATTGAGAAGATTACTCTAATCCTTTGTCTTCAGTGCCTGCGGCAGCTGTGCCCCCTTAATATCATAGCCATATGACTATAATCATTTAGCCTTTGCACTAATTTGTTTGATTATCCTATTTTTCTAAGCAGAAAAACAATTCCAGGGATAATTTCTGCACATCAGATTTTCAGTGCAAACTTTCACCTGAAGAGAATGTGATTTTATGTCTTTTCGTATTATAATTTTCTCTAAACACTCTGGTATGTACAGTATGTGCTGCGTCTAGACAGGAACTTTCTGCAACTACATATCTAATCACCTCTCTGCTAGCTACTGTTTCTGACAACACCAGTCCTGTATTACTACCATAGCTCCAAGAATCCTGGCTGTCAGTACTCTTCGTAACTTACTGTCAAGGAAATGACAAACCACTCACATGCATACATGTTGGTTTGCATTCAGTGAGTTAGACAAATTAAAGTTCAAACAATTCCAAAATGACATGTCAGGAAGAATACATGCAGATGGCAAAATCTTGTTGAATATGTTCTCCATGCTTTATCAACAGAGGAAATGTAATTAAGCTCACTTTTGTGTTCTTTCATTTTAGCCCTGTACTGAATCGCAGAGTTTTACTTTGGTTTGTTTGTTATGGATGATGAATGACCATATGATGAATAATGAAATAAAGTTTTAAAAAGAATTTTAAAAGTCTGTTTGAAGTGTTACTGTTTTAGGAATGAAGTGTAATTTGGATGTCAATGTAGATCATTTCTTTTGTTACTAGAAATTCAGATTCTAATGGTGATTACCTAAGGAATGTTGAAAAGTTGTTCTTATTTCATTTCACAATACTCGATACTCGGTGTGGTATAGAAGATAGAGTGATAGGTCAAGGTTCAGGAACCCTGAGTTCAAATTCCTGCTCAGCCATGGAACTAGTAATAGGGTCACTATAAATTGCATCCAACTTGACATAACAACAGCATTTCACTTCATAAACATAAGGATGATTATGGATTTCACTCTTAAAATGGATAATATAATGCTCAACCAATCTTTATGCACCTTAACATCACAGATTTTGTAGGCAAATTTCAGCACCAAGTACGATGTAGATTGTAATCCTCACAAATACTGTACATTATATCATAAATTTGTAAGTTCTGAATGTGCCTCTAAGGTACTGCAAGGCAGTTTTCGTTTGGCGTGTGTGTGTGTTTTGATATACATACTGAAACACACTAACATATAACTGTATCACTAAAAATTACATGTAACAAGGTCTGCCCTGTAATAATAGATAGAATATTGTTTATCTCACCTATAGAGATGACCCAAAATCTGTCTTCACAACCTCCTAGACATTTCTAAGATATTCCTGTGTCAAGATTATATCCTAAAATATTTATCTGTTAGTATCTTATAAATTGAAGATGCACATGTTCTTGTACTGTTTATAATGTTTAAAAATCTGCAACTTGTTTGCAGAAAAATAAGGCATATTTTAATGTATGCTCTCTATATGTGTGTCTTTGTGTGTGTTTTTTATATAGCCATATAATATTAAGAGGACCAAAACTGATTTATACATGTACAGTAGCCACTTTATTCACTGAAGTGTCCAGTACTGTACAAGAATTCATCAGAAGACTTTATACATAATAATGAGAGCCTGCTAGCCCAAGTGTGAAATGGTATAGTCCAAAATGCAGCAGCCAGACTGCTGACTGGGGCTGGTTACAGACATCATGTAACCCCTCTGTTACAGCAGCTCCACTGGCTGCCAATCAGTTTCTGGGCACAATTCAAAGTGCTGGTTTTAACCTATAAAGCCCTGAATGCCCTGGGGCTACCTTAAAGCCTCTGTCTCCCATTATGAGCCAGCTCAGATGTTAAAATCACCAGGAGAGGCCTTTCTCCCCCATGAGTGCATCTGATAGGGACACAATAGACAGCCTTCACTGCTGCTGCTCCCAGACTTTGGAACTCCCTTCCACAGGAGACCATCTTTGCTATCCTTCCACAAGCAAGCAAAGACCTTTCTCTCCAGGCAAGCCTTCCCTCAATAACTAGCTACCTGTGTGTGACTTTAAGAGGGATTGTTATGTTTTTGATTTTTTGGGTTTTCCATTTCTCAGAGTGACTTTTTCCCCCTTTCCCTTTAATATTTGTATACATATTGTTCCTAGCTTTAATATTAATTTTTAATGGTGTAAGATGCCTCTTTATACTTGTTCTTATCTTTAAATATATATTTAAAATTATGTTAACCATTGTTGTCTATTCATTATTTTAAACTTTAAATATTGTCTTTCAGTGTTGTAAGCTGCCTTGGACCCTTTTCAAGCAGAAAAGCCCAATTAGGGTTGCTATAAGTCAGTTCCAACTTGATGGCATATGAGGGCACGTCCAGACAGGCATATTTGGATTGCTTTTGGTGCTGTTTGCTTTGAACCAAATTACAGTGTCCAGATGTGTTTTGATTTAGAGTGATCCATTATTTTTGGTGTGATATGGAGCACTCCTGATTATCCGTTTCTGTAGCCTACATGGATGGTTTGTTCTTACTCAAATAGAGCTGTCGGCAGTGTTATCTGAGGGGACAACCCACTGATGGACTGTGGCATTGAAAGGGATGACAGAGAACCTCCCTCCTCTATTTTAATCTACTCTGCTGTTTTAAATGTTTAAAATATATATATATATATATCCTATTGATTCATCACTATTCTAAATGAACAAGACACGTTGACACCATTATGTGCATTGCTATTGTGCTCTGTCACTTACTTTATTTAACAAAGAAAGAGAGGAAATTCTCTGTAGCCTCCTGAATGATGGCTGTGAGAAAAGGCAAGGAAAGGGGGTAGGAAGAGGAGTGTCATTAATGGGTAGGGAGACGAATTGAAGCAAACCATTCTCATGGGGGAAGGAACACTGATCGGTGTGAATGGAAGGATCACTCAAGTCAGAGATAAACTGCACTAAAGATGAGCTCCTTTCAAGCATGAACCAAACTACTCCAACTTCTCCCATGCCCTCACAACCACCCGAAAAATAGGATGGGGTGGTGAAAATTCCTCCAGCCTTTTAGTGAACAGGTGCACACAAAAAATTGCCAGGTAGAAAGAGGTGAGCATCTTTTATTGATGCAGAAGATGGGGAGGAAGTGCTGAAGAGATGTGCTGTAGTTTTTACAGATTATAGGTTGATTGTGAGATCATTTTGCAATGAACTGAGGCAAAACTTTGAGGCTCCCTGGGCGGGGAGAGCAAGACATCCCACCTTCATGAGGTGCTGGGAGCAAGAAGGCCCAAGGGCAAGATGGCCGCAGGGACACAGCATTTGGCTGGGGGGACGGAGAGGTCAGTCACCCGGCGGGAAGCTGTGGCGGGAAGGGAGTACTAAGGCTGCAGGACAAGAAGGATAGTGGGACGGAAGAGGGCCGCGTTAAGGGGAGAGCCTGGGCAGAGGGACACCTTCCTTGGTGTGTGCAGGGTCTGTCAAGCTGAGGCACCTTCGCGTGCCGCGATGTGACAGCGGGGGAAAAGTCAGTGCTTCTGAGGAATGCTGTGAGATGGGGACACAGGGAGAAGGCGGCAGCGGCGGCGGCGGGGGGGGGGGGACTTGCTGCTTCGGGGCAACCGCTTTCCCTCTCAGCGGCCCTGCCCTCCCAGGGGAGGACAGAGGCGGGTTCACGCGGAGGGAGATGCGGGTGGCTGAGGCGGGCGGCCAGCCAGCGAGGGGAGAGGCTCGAAAGGCGGCCTCTCTTCGCCACCATCCTCACCGTGTCTCCCTCCGGGGGGTTGGGTGGGGAGCAGCGCAGCCCGGCCCTGCCTGCCCGCCCGCCCGCCTGCTCTTGCTGCTGCTGCTGCTAAGACGGAGGTTCTGCCGCTGCGATACTATGAGCCGCCGCCGCCGCCACCACTCCCCTCCCTGGGCGGCTGTCATCAGGGAGAAGAAGGAGACAAGCCGGGAGCGGCGGGAGAGCAGGGTCGGCGCCTCTTCTTAATGCACCTGGCGGGAGCTCCCGGGCCTGGAGGAGGAAGAGGAAGAGGAGGAAGGGAAAGCGGGCCGTGAAAGCGATTCCGCAGCCCGGCTGCTGGTGGGCGAGCGCGAGGAGATGCCGGCCGAAGGGCTGGCTGGCGGATCGGCTCCAAAGGTGGAGGCTTGGGGCGATGGAGCCCGCCTCTGCCCTTAGCCGCCAATAGAGGCGAGACGCCGCGGGCCGCCGACGACCCCGGAGCTCCATGCCCTCTGCCCGGGAGCTGCACCATGGGGGGATCCTTCTGGCGCCTTGTCCTGCTGGGCTCCTGGGCCGTCGTTGCCGGTAGGTTGTGTGTGTGTGTGTGTGTGTGTGAGAGAGAGAGAGAGAGAGAGAGCACGCGCACGCGTTTCTCTTTTAGCGTGTTCTCTTTGGGGCCTCAAGTTACTTGGGCGTCTGCAGGTGGTCAAGAGTAAACATGCACTTGCAGGAGCCGCTCCCCACGACCAAAGTTAACACGCAGTACAAGGCGTGTCTCGTCAGCACATTGCCTCATCGCAGGGCTTGGATGCCAATGAGCAATCTATGAAGCGCCTCTTTTGCTTGCCCAAAGGATTCCTACCCCTGAACTCGCATCTGGAGACTCTTCCTGTCCCCCACCCGCCTCTCTCTGCCTCAGTCACCTCCTCTTCTCAATGCCTTCGAGGTAAGCGAGATCACATTCGCTTTCCAAACAGTTGCTAGCTCGTCAGGGATTCGGGAGAAAGTGTTCAAAAAGTCAGAGAGAATGAAAGCGAGCGATCGAGCAATCGTGCGTGCGTGTGTGTGTGTGAGAGAGAGACTAACTTCCAAGACAGAAGTGGGGAGACAAGAGGGAAGCTGCGATCTTAATACCAAGATAAAAAAAAATGTACCACACAGATAAACGCCACAACCCGCAGACCTTTCTTTTCTGCACAAGAACCAGGGTGCATCATTTTGAGGAACTAAAGTTTAAAGCATCAAATGTAGGGGTACATGCTGTTTCACAAACTCCAAAAGACAGTGTTGTTTTCGAATTTAATCTTCCACACTGACAAAATGGTAAATATGGAGTGGGAAGATCTACTGCTGCAAACAATTGCTTATTAGTTGTAAACATGGCCTAGCATTTATCTGTTTTTTTTTATTTGTTAAGGACATTCCACCTTTCTTCCACTGAGTTCAAGGTGGCTTACCTGGTTCTGGTCCCCACCTTATGCACACAACAACCCTGCAAGGTGAGATGGGTGAAGACGGCGATTAGCCAAGGTTACCCAGTGAGCTTCATAGCTCAACTGATGTTTCCCCAAATCCCAGTCTCACTCTCTTAACCACTACATCACATAGCTTCTCAGCAATATAATTAATCATAAATAATAGTTGGTATCTGTTCCAAAATAGTTGGCCTTGCTCAATAAACACAGGTGCACAGGTTGGGAATGCTCCTGGATTTGTCTCTGCAGCTGGATGCCCAGGTTTCAGCAGTGGCTGGGAGTGCATTTGCACAATTAAAACAAGTGTCCCTGCCGTGCTCTTTCCTGGAGAGTTCTGATCTGGCCACGGTGACACATGCCATAGTTACATCTCAGCTAGATTATTGTAATGGAGTGGAGCTGCCTCTGGAAAGTGTTCAGAAATTTCAGGGGGTCCAAAACACAGCAGTCAAATTGCTAACTGCAGCTGGTCACAGGGATTACATACATAACTCCCCTGTTATAGCAGCTCTCTTTGGCTGCTGATCCCTTTTCAGGCAGAATTCAAAATGCTGGTTCTAGCCTATTAAAAACCTATGGATTATTGTATCTTACTGCTTTGAAGTGTTTTGGTGCTGCTTTTGTTTACTGTTTTTTTAGCGTGGTATTTGATCCTTTTTAGTTTTTGTATTCTCACTGTCATTAGAGTAAAAACATTTTAATAAATAAATAAAATAAGCTGTTCATTTGAACTGTAGAGTGAACTAATTATAGAAGCTTGAATTCAAACTAAAATTTTATTCAATCCAATTGAAAACAATGGTATTTAAATTAATTGAGCCTAGCTAACTTGGTTTCGATTTGACAAATAGGATATTTAAAAAAACAGGGAGGGAGTACTTCCCAGAAAATGTTAGACACAGATTCAGTCAGTGGCTGAAATCCTGTTGCTCAGTTTAATAAATTGTACTTCAGGTCCACTGGATTACAACCCCTCCCTAAGTTTCATTCATTCAAATGAGCCTAGTCTACTTGCAACTTTCTTCAGCATAGTAAGTTGCAACTATAGTAGATCCATTTGAATCAGTGGAACTTATGGAGGAACGGACTCACCATATATCCACTGATTCAGTGGGCCTACACTATTCAGTAGGATTTCAGCCAATAAAAGACCTAATTATTTAAGAAGAAAAGCTTAGCTAAGACCAGTTTACATGGTGCGGTTTTAGCTATAAGTCCTGCGTGATTCAGGACCATTGTGAAACACAGTAGTCCTGAATTCACAACATCTCTGAAGAAGTTACATATTTCATACCCATATCCAACGATAAAAGTCTTATTTGAAATGTTATGTGTTGTCTCTTAGAAATTTCAGAAAAAACACAAGAGAACAACTTTCACACAGCTACATTTCTTTGAATTATTTTTTTCTATGAGTGAAGCTGGACAAAAGGATGAAATAGCTTACGGAAATTATGCCTCAGCATGGCCTGAATTAATTTTGCCATCAATTTTATTTACAATCATTTATTCACATCTTACTCTGAGGAGAAAATTGAGTACTTACATTCTTTGTGAACTGATCAAAATTAGTACATGTACTAGTTCTTGTACTACATGTACAAGAAAAGGCGTTCACAGATGTACAACTGTGATAAACTTACAACTGCTTTTCCATGTTGTCTGCCCCATTGTTCTTCTGACAACAGAACACATTCCCAAATGTGAATTGACTTGAATGGAGGAAAAGATGAGACACAAAACAAACATCATAACATCTATTCATACACCCTTATGGGAGGAATCAGTGCTTGTTGCTAGCCTGTTGTACTTCGGACAGGTTTTTGTCCCACTTGTTCAAAGTTGTCCGGCTAACAGCTGTTAACAGGGTAAGGGAGGAAGGGATACTTGTCACCCTCAAGATATTGTTGGACCTCAACTCCCACCTATGTACTATATATGCTGCTAAACAGACATCTGCAGAAAGGGACAAGAATGCAAAAAGAACAAAGTGACTCAACTGCAAAACAGTTTGAGGTTAAATAGTATGCTTCTGGCTGAAGCATTATGCAGTCAAAATACATAAATACATTGCAATATTGGAATATTGTAACTCCAAATATTTCATTAACAATTTCTAAGTGTTTGTACAACATATATATTAAAGGCTGTGAATAAAATTGCAATATATATATATATATCTGTGAACACTCAAAATAGGCAAAAAAAACCCACACTGTAAACATATGCTGAAGTTTAGAAAATGAAAAATAGATGAATACAGAAATTTTGGTAATGCCATAATGTTGGTTTGTTGAAATGTCAATTCAATAGAGTGATACGAACAACAAGAAAACAGCAAATAGTCTGGAGAAAAGAAAGGAGAGAAAATATCTGGAGTAGGAAAATAAAATAGAACATAATTTTTATAAACACTATATCTAAACTGAAAACAGATTAGAAAGCTCAGTGCTTTAGGCATCTGGCTGCAGAGTCAGACGTTGGGTGTTTGATTCCCCACTGTGCCTCCTTGGCAAGACCTGGCTGCAGTGGACCAGTTCTGCAGATTATTATTACTATTATTCAACTGAAATTGTGCCAAGTAGCAAGTATCAATCATAGAATCATAGAATAATGGAGTTGAAAGGGGCCTATATCGTCATCAAGTTCAATTCCCTGCTCAGTGCAGAAATCCAGATCAAAGCAGATCTGATAGATGGTTGTCCAATTTTCTCTTGAATGCCTCTAGAGTTGGAGCGCTCACCACCTCCCGAGGTAATTGGTTCCACTGTTGTTCTGCTCTAATAGTTAAGAAGGTTTTCCTGATATTCAGCTGAAATTCTGTAGCTTGAGGCCATTATTATGTGTCCTGCACTCTGGGATGATCAAGAACAGGTACTACCCTTCCTCCGCATGACTACCGTTCAAGTATTTGAGAAGTGCTATCATATCTCCTCTCATTCTTTTCTCAAGGCTAAACATGATCAGTTATTTCAGTCTTCATAGGGCTTGGATTCCTGTCCCCTGATCATCCTTGTTGCCATTCTCCTCAAGAAAGAATAGCTTCTGATATGAAAGAAGTTAGCCTTAACCCAACACTTTTGACAAGTCTTGCCTTTGCCTAGATCACAGACTACCTATGGTATTAAGAACATCTTAGGTGAACACCCCAGGAGATTTCTCCTCATCGTCCAGTGAGTAAAATGGAAAATCAGAAAGAAAACCTCAGAGGGAGCATTTTGATAAATAGGAAAGAAGCCAATATAGCACATTAGGATAAAAGCTTAGAATCTAAAGAATGGTCAGTAAGAATAGAATTATACGTACTAAGCATTATAAATAAAAGAAGAACGTATTTCTTTAAGAATATGTGATTAAATAATCACATATTCTTATATTCATAGTGTGGTGTTCCAGAATATTTCTGCTTGCAAAAAGCCTCTAGCAAGTAATACCCTGATCCAATCCCATTATAGATCAACATAAGAACACACTGCAGAGCACATCTCAACTAACTTTTTAAACTGTTTCAGACAAATTCTGTCAATATTCTTTAAAGCAACCCTGCAAAATATTGCTAACATGGGCAAACGTTTCCTGACAGCATAAGAGTAGGCTTGCCCAAACTTTTGCACTCTTTGTACGTTAACTCTAAATAGCATAGTTTTTCTCATTTTATGAGAAATCATAGAGTTTAAATCTTTGCTGTGGATTGGGTACAGGATGGATTAAACAATTGTGCTTTCTTTTTAATTATTACACTTTTTCCTAATTAGTGTTGAGCAGCATTGTTCAAGCTGGATCCCAATGTGAGAAAGCATGCAATCCTCGGATGGGAAACCTTGGGTATGGACGTAAATTGTGGACAGATACAAAGTGTGGAAGCAACTCCACGGAATTTTACTGTTCCTACAGTGAGAATGCAGACCTCATATGCAAGTCACCGAAATGTAGCAAATGTAACTCTCTACATGCCCATATGGCTCATCCACCCTCTGCTATGATTGACTCTTCCTTCAAGTTGCCACATACATGGTGGCAATCAGCACAAGGGGTACAAAGGGAGAAGATCCAATTGAACTTGGAAACAGAGTTTTATTTCACTCATTTAATCATAGTCTTCAAGTCACCAAGACCAGCAGCCATGGTGCTGGAACGATCTCAGGATTTTGGAAAAACATGGAAGCCTTACAAATATTTTGCCACAAATTGCTCAGCAACATTTGGACTGGATGATGATGTAATAAAAAGGGGGGCAATTTGCACTTCTAGATATTCTAGTCATTTCCCCTGCACTGGAGGAGAGGTGAGTTCATTAACATATCAAATACCTACAAAAAATAAAAACGTGATTTTATGTTTATTGTTTTAGAAACTGAAGCTTTTACCACTAAGTCAAAGCTTATGTTTCTAAAACAATGGCTGAAATTCTATTGATATTTACCTAAAATATATAACTTGCTATAGCTATTTGCAGTTAATTGATGAGGTGCTAGGATTCATGTTGGTTGCACAAAATTACAAAGTACGGAATTGAGATGTGCCCCAGCATCTCATCAATTAGCTACAATTAGCCACAGCAAGTTACACAAATCTTAAACATCAATGGAATTCTGGGCAACTTTTTTACTGTTGAGAAATGTGTTTAAAGGATGTGAAAAGCAAAACAAACAAACAAAAACAATCCCCCCTAAATCAGCTATGCTTAAAAAAACATTTTTTAATGTTTTCATGCTTCTTCCTCTGTTCCATGCTTTTTATACTGCCTAGTCTAGATTAAACATTTTGAAAGCTTGTATACTTTCTGGCATTTTGATAGATCCTAACAATGGAATTTGATGCAATGTGGTAGTGGATAGAATAATGGACAAGCACATAGGAGACCTGGCCTTGATTCCCTGGCTCTACCATGGAATCTCACTGCAGGAATGGAACCGGTAAAACCATTCCTTAAATACGTCACTTAGCTTGAAAATACTGTTAGGGTTGCATAAGTCAGTTATAACTTGACAACACATAGTATCAGCAAAACAAAGGTATTGGCCACTTGTGGATTTTGATGTCTGAAGGAATGTTGGACACTACAGCAGCAGTTAATATTCTATGACTTGATTTGTTTTCCTATATTTGTGTTTCTTCCTTCTTGTATGTCAACACTTGATTTGTTTGTTTTCCTATATTTATTTGTGTTTCTTCCTTCTTGTATGTCAAGCAAAGTTATATGTTAAAATCTTATTTATAGCTTACATTTCAGAGTATAATACTTTGTTTGGTAACTTTGGGGAGTATGTGCTGCTACTTGCTTTCTTTGTGTGTTCTGGTGCTTAAAAACTATTAAATAGCTCAGTGAACTGCTGGAGAACTCAGTAGTTTAGGTACCATGTTTCCCCGAAAGTAAGTCAGGGTCTTATATTAAATTTTGCTCAAAAGTAAGTCAGGGTCTTATATTAAATGTTGCTCCAAAATGCATTAGGGCTTATTTTCAGGTGGTTTTTTTTTCCATGTACAACAATCTACATTTATTCAAATACAGTCATGTCATCTTCTTCTAGTTGCTGCACAGTAGTGAAGGGTGGGTTTTCACTTATCCTGGGGCTTATTTTTGGGGTAGGGCTTATATTACAAGCATCCTGAAAAATCATACTAGGGCTTATTTTCAGTTTAGGTCTTATTTTCAGGTGAAACGGGTATCTGGCTGCTGAGCCAGAGGTTGGGAGTTCAGTTTCCCGCTATGCCTCCTTGACAAGGGCTGGACTTGATGATCCACAGGGTCCCATTGAGCTCTGCAATTCTAAGATTATGATGATGATAAGAAAGCATAGTTGGATACTGAAAGCTTGATCATTATTGTGACCTTTTGGTAGCCCCAGTAAATGCAGTGCACAAATACGAATTTGGAATTTCTCTTATGATCATTAAAAAAACATGTTTTTAATGTTTCTCATTAGCTGTGAATTTAATAATAGCTCTTTACTCCTGATGCCCATTTGTCTTTATACTTGCAATGAGCAATGAGAAAAGTATCTGTACATAAGGGTTTTAAATTAGGCACAGCTGTCAAATTCTGCATGCCATGCCCATAATGATTCACATGGCCCAGCTGTGCTGTACCACTGCTGGATTTCCCTGCCTAAAATACCCTCCATTGTGAACTCTTTCATGGCAGCTGGCACTGGCAGCCATGCCTGAGACCAGCTGTATTATGCAGCGGCAACCTCATATGGTTAGAAGCACTGACTGCAAATGTGTGTTAAGGCTGAAAATCTTTCTCATCTGGTCAGTATGTGTTGGTTGATGCATAGAATTTCACTATATCCACTATGTCTATTTGCCTATTGGACTATTTGAGGTTTCACCAGTAGCATTTGCTGGGCCTAGCAGTAGCACCTTTAAACCCTTCACTTATGCCCATTCAGACTCAGGTCAATGACTTAGACAGAGTAGAGTGTTTCACATCATTCTGCAATCATGCTGTGCAAGCTCCATAGGTTATAACTAAAAATGGCTTCAGTATCTTCAGAATCTTCATGTCATTTTAAAAATGCAGATTTTTAGCCCTTAGCACTGAAAAGATCAGTTAGTTCAGTTAGGCATCCTTCAGTCTCGAAAGCCTGAAGAAAACACAAGTCATGGACCAGGGCGTGGACTCCCCTCCTTCCATTACCATCTCTACACAAGAATTGGAGGTTGTTCATGACTTTGTGTACCTTGGCTCAACCATCTCTGACACCCTCTCTCTGGATGTCGAGCTGGATAAACGCATTGGCAAAGCAGCCACCATGTTCTCTAGACTGAAAAGATAAGGCTTCATAATTTGTGACTGATTACAGAAGTTAACACGGAAGGAGATCTCTAAGACTCAGAGTACTCTGCATAAATCCTTGCCATTTCCCATGACAAAGAAAAATAACAGGCATCTGATAAGCATGAGTCTTTTTCATCCCTTCTGCAGGAACTAAAGAAGTTGGGCTTAAGGGGGTATTGAGCTGTTGGGACTTCTGCCTCACCCTTCTTTATGGACAATGCTATGGACCAGATGTGTCCCCAGTTGCGGTTGAACTGCACTTCCACCAGCCCTAGTCAGCATTGTTTATGATGAAGGATAATGACACCTGCAACCCAGCAATATCTGGAGCGCTGCACATTCTCTATGCCAACTGGGAATAAATGGAGAGGTGCATGTTTGATGATAAAAAGCTCACTTTCTTTGTGATTCCCACTATAAAGATATCTGAGATTATTGATTGGCAGTGAGGAGGTTCCCTATATGTTATTGTAGATACCAAACTAGAGAGACCAAACTAAAACCGTCATTGCACTATGTGAGTGAATTCTAAAGCCAACTTAAAATAATGGAATTGATGCCCTTTTTGTCTATACAGTCTCACAGTCCCTGCAAAAAATAAATCTGCATGATAGACACAGGAGTAATAGTGAAGCTCTCCCCACTGCTGTATTGCCACTTGAGGACTCTTAAATGTTTGTCTTGCACTTTGGAAAAGGAGAAATGCCTGGGAGGACAAAAAAAAGTAAACTTTCAGAGATGCTGCTGGCTTCCCAATGGTGGAAGTTGTTATTGCTCCTGCTTCTGCTGCACCACTGATAGCTCCAGGATGGGAAAGACCCTTTATATATATATGTGTGTGTGTGTGTGTGTGTGTGTGTGTGTGTGTGTGTGTGTGTGTGTGTGTGTGCGTGCGCATCTGCTACAGAATGACAAAAGAAATACAGATACAGTATAGTAATGAACAATCGATAGCAGCCTCTACAGATATCCTGAAAGAAGTTGCTTATCCAACATTACTTAATTAATGTGCCCATTTCAACTTATGGTGACCCTTCCCAGGGTCTTCAAGATATAAATTACACAGAAGTGATTTAACAGCTCCTCTTTCTAGTGACACTCTGGGACTATGTAGTTTGCTCAAGGATCCAAAATCTTGCTCTGCTCTTAGAAGGCATACAGGGAATCAAACCCCCAATTCCCGCCCCTGAGCTACCCAGCCATCTTGAGGTACCCAGCCATCTTGAGGTATTCAACATGAGGAATGAAGAACCCTGTTGGATGTGGATATTGATGGATATTAGCCCAGGGTCTATACAGTCTATATTTTTCATCATTTCATTATCAAAGTCCAAGACAGTCTTCTCCAACCTGATGTTTTCCAGTGGTGTTCACCTGCAACTGCCATTATCCCAAACTACTGTGGCCATTAGGTTGGTTGGTTGATTCTCTCTGGATGTTGGGCATTGATCATTTGTGCAAGGTACATCTTCTGTGTACAATAATTGCCAAAGTGCCACTTATGTGTTCTTAATGATGTGTTCATAGAAGTAAGGAAAAGAGATGTAGCCTCAAATTGCACACATACGTAGAAATAAGCAATCACTTGCTGACACTAGTGTATCCAGGCCTGATTAGTTTAAGGCCAGTTCAGGCATTATAATTCAAATAAATTCACCACATGAAGAAGGGAGCATTTTAGACTGCTCCTGTTGCCACTTCCATTGCTGACTCAAGTGAATATTGAGTGGAGCACTCCTTCCTTAGATTTGTCACCCTCCATTATTTATTATTTTATTAGACTTCCACTCCAGCCATCTAGACCGAAGGTTTACTCTAGGCAGTTTACAAATTTAAAAACAGGAAAACCAATAAATATATACTATAGATCCAAGATGGCAAAAATATCAGAATCAAGATATGGCAGGAGGGAAAGCCTGCCCAAATAGCCGAGTCTTAACTTTGCTCCTGAAAACACTCAGGGAGGGAGCCAGGCAAATTCCAGGGGCAAGTTGTTCCAAAGGTGAGGGGCCACTCCGGAGAAAGGCCAGTTCCTCATTCTTTCCTTCCGGACCTCCCTCGGCATTAGGCCCCTTAGCCACCCGGCCTGGCTGAAATGATTGATCAAGAGTACATGTGTATTTTTGGTAGAAAGTAGCTGGTTGAGGTTCTTGTGGTATGTTAGTCAGGATTTGTTCATTTATATTTTAAAGGATGTTTTTCATAAAGTTTTGTAATTCCCTTTAATATTTGGTAGTTGAGTCTGTAGTTAGGAGCTAGAAAAATTTATAGTTAGACAACTGTCTTTCAGCTTCCCATGTGTAGCTTAATTTGTCTATGACAACCACAGCACCATCCTTATCTGCCTATTGGAATATGATGATGGGATCGTTTTTGTACAGCTGAGATTGTATTGTAAATTGTGTCCCTTGCTGATGATCTCATCCTGGGGCATGATGGCAAAAGCACTCAGTAGAGAAGTCCAGTTCTTTGTTCTGACCCTCTGGAAGAGTCTACATAGA